CCTCCTCCAGGGGACCAGCCTGCTAGCTTCCATCCCGGAAACTCTGCTCCACCCTGGTAAGGCGCCTCTTCCTCCAGGTTGCCAGATGCAGAATCATTATATCCACAAATGGCAGTTGATCTCCCCCTCTAGTAGTGTTTCTGTTTCTAGAAGTAATTGCAGTGGGCAGAGCGCATCTACTCAGACGTACCTGGAGACCTGACCTGGTCCGCCACATGGGAGGACACTCAGCCATTGACTCAGCTCCCCCCATCCGCACATGGGCAGCTGGGTCTGCCTGCTCACTGGGGTGGCCTGTCTCTGTCCTCCTCCCTGTACTGCTGTCAGAACCCACACAGCACAGGCGGACGTTTATTAGACTGGCCTCTAGACTTGGAGGACACGCGTTGTTCCCTCCCTGTGAGGTGTGCCTGGGGGTCTCTCATCCTCTCTCCCTCCGTGTCACTTTGTATTTCCATGGAAATGAGTCACCAGATTTGTCCTTCTTCTCCAAAGACAAAGAAAAGAATCCAACTTAGCATTACAAGGTCATCAAGGCTTTAAGACCTCCAGAATGCTCCAAAGTGTTGAAGCCTCTCCCTGACCCCTCGAGGTCCCTAGATCACATGGTGGCATCAAACCACACGTCCAGAAGCTGGACATTAAATAAACCCGGAGGCCAGCAGGGACCAGGAGGGGAGAGCCCCCTTCACAGACTGGCCTCTGGTGAATGAATTGAGGTTTACAGTGGTGATTAACCCACTGCAGAAGCACGTTCGTCAGCCGTAAAGCTCTGTTAAAACCTCCTGCTGTAAAGACTTACACAGAGATCAGCCGAGCTCTTCTGCCGTGGCCTTTAGAGTAAATTTATTACCTCCTTGGAGACCCCGAAACAAAAGATAGGCTGACTGAGCTATTAATTTAATGACTTCCCCAATGGAAGTGTGAAAAGTGCAGTCCTGGTCTCAAATTGACAGTGAAACCCACTCCACTCGTCCCATCCAGGGGAAAAATGCCCAGCAGACAAGGGAAGTGGGAGGGCCTGGGAGGCAAACCCAGGCTTTTCTTGACACCCTCGGGAGTTTCCAACCAGAGAGGTCCTAGCTGGAAATTTCCTGGGATCAAATTCACTTTAGCAAATATTTAAGATACCCAGTATTTTATGCTAATTCCAGCTAAGTAAAAAGGCCATGCCTGCCCTGTGGGTGCCTTGCCTCTCTGTCACCTGTGACTCCCCCATCTGCCCAAGGTGACAGGAAGTCAGGGCTGCATTTCTGAGTCTCTAGGATCTTGGCTTTTGTTATTCTTACAGTACTGGCTCTGGCCCCAAGTGCAGATCCAGACTCACCATGGGCAGTTTGAACTGTAGCAACTGTTACCATAATCCACACAGCAGAGGAGTAATCTGTAGAAAAGCTTGTGGGATCTGCACAATTTTATTGCCCAGATGTGTGACCTCCAAAATTAGTAAACTTAAGAGCAAATGAAGCTACAGGGTTTATTTAGGTTTTCCACTGGTGACAGACTTAAGCCTGTGACACGTAGGCCAAAACAAATTGTCCTTTTCTGTTGATCACCTCAGGTGTTTTGTCAGAGCAATGAAAAGCTGATTATCACAGAAAGCCTGCACTGAGAAGTGAGATTGTTGCCATGATGGCACCTGATGGTGGTGCAGTTCAGAATTGGGACTGGTTTGGTAGAGGAGTTTGGAAAAGTTTGGAGAAACAGGAGGAAAAAGCTTAGAACCCCATAGGCAGAGCTTACAGGTGCTTCCCACAGGGACTCAGCAAACCAGAATGCTGCTAGGAGTGGGGACAGTAAAGGCCAGGCCCATGAGGTCTCAGATGGGAAGGAGCTGTGGTCCAAGGGGGCCCAGCTGCTGCTCCGGCAGGCTGGAGACCTTGGCTGCCAGTCCTCCTGGAATTCTGCTTTTCTCTTCCCCATCAAAACTTGCCTGTCATCCCCTGCCCACTGGCCCCACTCTTATCTAGGAGATTAAGAGGTTAAAGTAGAACTGGTAGAAAGGTAATAGCTGAGCTGACAGTTGCAAGAAAAGAACGCTTTCAGGGGGGTTTTGCCCAGTGCAAAGGACCGTGCAGAGGAGCCCAGCTCGGTTTCTTTCCAGTGCTTCCTCGTCACAGCCTGAACTCTTGTCTCACAGTTTCATTCCTGACTTTCCCTTTGCATTAGCTGGTAGGGCTGCCCCACAGAGTATATAGTCACGTGTCACTAATGACAGGGATATGTCCCGAGAAAGCATCCTCAGGTGGCTTTGTCACTGTGGGCACATCCCAGAGTGCATTTCCACAAGCCAAGACAGTACAACCACTGCACACCTGGGCATTTGTGGATGAAAACATACAAAAGGGGCAGCACGAACACAGGACAAAGGTAAACAGTGGCACACCTGAGTAGGACACCTGCCAGGCATCCAGCTTGCAGGATTGGAGTTGCTCTGGGCCTATCAGTGGTGAGGAGAGTAAAGGTCTCAGATGTTACTGGCCACAGTTGCAGGCTTCAGAAGCACTGTACACTAGGCCAAAAGTAAACTCACAAAATATTTTGCTTTCTTCAATAATGAATTAATTTAGATTTTTAACTTTTGCTGTATAAAGTGGAAGCTTAAAAAGGCATTTGACTCTTTTTGTAACAATGCCTAGCTTAAAACACAAGCATATTCTACAATTTTGTAAAAATATTTTTTATTTGCAGTACTCAGGGTCCACACCTTGAGCCACTCTACCAGCCCTTTTTTGTGAAGGGTTTTTTCAAGACAGGGTCTAGTGAACTATTTTCCCAGGCTGGCTTTGAACCTTGATCCTCCTGGTCTCTACCTCCTAAGTAGCTGGGATTACAGGGGTGAGCATCTGTGGATTTCATGCTCTCAACACAGAGGTCTCAGTAGGCAGATAAGGCACCAGGAATGTCCTCTATTATTGGTGACCTTTTGGGGTGGGTCCCTGCGTTCTGATTTTGCAAGGAGCCTGCAGAGGCATCAGGAGCTTTTCTCCCCCAACACTGTGAATGTTTCAGGGACTCATTGTTTCCTCCGCAGTGTCCTCTTCTTCAGCTGCACATTCACTGGGTGACGAGTTTCCAGCTCCGTTACAATCTGTGGGACCACTGTCATATATAGTTCATCATTGTGTTAAATCTTCACTGCTGTGACAAAATACTTGAGCAACAACTTAAAAAGAGGAAAGATTATTTTGACCCAGGGCTTCAGAGGTTTCAGCTCTTCGTGTCAGGGAGGTTGTGGGCACAGCTCCAGTGATGCTGGCCACACTGCAGGAGCTACAGGCTTTCTCCTTGCTCACTTTAGTCCACCTGGGTCCCCAGCCTGTGGGACAGCGCTGTCCACGTTCAGGTCAGGTCTTCACGCCTGGTTAATCCTGTGTGGGAAACACCCTCAGAGACACCTTCACCAATCTCCTGAACGCTTCTCAATCCAATCAAGTTGACAGTCAAGGTGAACGATCACAATTGTTGACTAAGAGCTGAAACCACTGAAATCGACTCTCTCATACTCCTGCAGACCAGAAGTCCAAGGTCACAGTGTTGACATCTGCAGGGCTGCGCTCCTTTGGAAATCTCTGGGGAAGGATGGGCCCAGGCCTCTCAGCTGGGTTCCGTGGTTCCTTGGCTTGCGGCAGTGTTGCTCAGTCTCCCTTTGTGTGTGCCCATTTCTGGGCCTGTTTTTTCCCCTTTTGTAAAGACACGGGTCATGTTTGATCAGGGTCCTTCCGGCTCCAGGAGGAGGGTCATCAGTAAAGAGGACTCCGTTCTATCTAAAAACTGCCCGAGCTGTTGCTTTTTAATTGGGAGAACAGAATGGGCTGAATGTTTCTGGCCTTTATTCGGATGCCTGAGTAGGTGGCTGCACCAGGCATTCCCTCCGTGGGCAAAGTTTGGTTTTTTTCGTATTTTTTTGGGGGGTGGTTCTGGAGTTAGCACTCAGAGCCTCACACTTGCCAGGCAGCCACTCTACCACCTGATCTGCTGTGCCAGCACCAGCCGTTTTGTGTTTGGTATTTTGAGATGGGGTCTCTTGAACTATTTGCTCGGCTGGCTTTGAAACTCAATCCTCCTGATCTCTGCCTCCAGGATAGCGAGGATTGCAGGCATGAGCCACCAGTGCTTGGGTGCTTAATTTAAGTTTTTAGAAATTGTGGTGAAACTATAACGAAGTTACAGTCCAAAGCACATTTAAATGCATAGCTCAGAAGTGTTAACTATTTCCACAGGACTGTGCCAAATCTTTAGCACTTGTTCAACCTCTAAAATGGGAACTCTGATACACTAAATGACGGCTCCTTTTTTGCTCCTCCCTGGCCCCTGGCAACCTCCATTCTCCTTTCTGTTTCTGTGAGTTCATCTGGTTTAGCTTCCTCACATAAGGGGACCCAGACAGAAGGTGTCCTTTGTGACGGTCTCGTTTCACTTAGCATAATGTCCTTCAGGTTCACCCACATTGCAGCATGTGACAGAAATCCCTTCTTTTTTAAGAGCAGGTCATAGTCCACTGTGTGGATAGGCCACACATGGCTTGCCCATGCCCCCATCAGTGGACACTTGGGTCGCTTCCACCTTTTGGCTTTTATCGATGATGCTGTTCCAAATGTGGAAGTGCAAAGACCTCTTCGTGACCCTGCTTTCAGCTTTTTCGGATAGGTGCTGGGTGAGTTCTGTGTGTCCCTGCCACCTCACACTCACATAACCTCACACTCCTCACATAACCTTCAAAGCCTCACATTCCGGCTTTGAAGCTGGATGCCTGGTCTCTCATTCGTAAGGGAGAGAAGTTAATATGCAGTCAGAGCTCCTTATCTGCTGGGCTTGGGGACACGGCACAGGGTAGATGGTTTGGGACTGATTCCCCAGCACACAGAGTTAGGGCGGAATCCTTGGTGCTGGGACCAGGGCTGGGAGGGATCTGCAGTGCCCCTGAGCTCTGTGGCTTAGATGGCACGGTGGCATTTGGCCACAAGCAGTCTGCTCACCAGGGTGTGCTTTCCCTCCAGGTGAGTGAGAAAATGTAGTGGAGCAACAGCCGAGGAGACACCTGCTGGGAGCTTGGTGTGGACACCCCAGCCCAGACGGAGCCCTGCCCCCGGGCATCCCTTTGGCCATCCAGCCTCACCATGTCAAGGAAGGGTGCAAGCAGCCGGGCCAAGGGGGACAAAGCAGAGGCTTTTGCTGCGCTGCAGGCCGCCAACGAGGAGCTGCGAGCCAAGCTCACGGACATCCAAATCGAGCTGCAGCAGGAGAAGAGCAAGGTAGGCCCCAAGTCCCTGACTCAGACCTCTCCGTCTCCCCACCTGCCCCTGGTGTCAAGAGGCTCTTGTAGGAGGGGACATAGCCAGGTCTCTGAATATTCAGAGGGGCCCACGCCCTCATGCAGGAACACCGAAAGCTCTCATGGTGGCTTAGGGCAGAGCTCTGGGAGGAGGGGGGAGGCGGGAGGTCTTGAGGGTCCTGGGTGCAGAGTCTATGATGGTGGCCCCAAACCCAAGGAGAGTGCACAGAGTCACACAGGAAAGCCCTCCCACACCGGATGTGTGCTGCGGGACTTTGGCTGCTCTGCCAACCAGCATATCCCCGGACATGACAGACTTTCCCATGAAGTATTTACAGTGGACTTGAACTAAAGAGAACAGGCCACTGCAGCCCCTGTGAGAGCAAATGAAAAGATGGGCATAGAGAGGACTTCTTGTTAGGAGGAACACAGCTATGACCACACTTGGAGATGCTGGAGCAGGCACAGCAGGGACGGTGGAGCTAGAACCCAGCAGTCAATTGATGGGCAGCTGTGAGGGCCTCCAGCCAACCCCTCCTCATATTGGGTCCTTGAAAACTGTAGGGAGGCCGAGCTCATGCTGGCAGCTGGGAGTGAACCTCTGAGCAGGAGGTTGGGGGACTCACTCAGCACCAGGGCCCTGACCCAAACTTCTTTCCATCTCTGGCATGACCTTTGCTCTGTCCTCCCACCCCACCCCAGGAGAGGGGTGGAATTAGGAAGTGCAGGTGAGCTCCTGGGGTGGGGAGGCAGAGAAGTGTCTGGAAAGAGGGCAGTCTCAGGAAGAGTGTGGACAACCCAGGGCAGGTGTCTCTCCTGGAGGGTTTGAAGGTCTGGGGTTGCAGGTGAGTGGTGTACTGGGCTCTAACTGTCTACCCCCTCCTTCCTGCCCTCTGAAGTCATCTCTCATGGAGGCCTGTGGTTGGAAGCAGCAGAAAGGCAGGTTTTTCTGGGCCAGCTGCTCAACCTCTGAGTTACCTGACCTCAGAGGTTTCTTACCTCCTCCATTAAAAGAAGAGCCATGTTTTCTGACACGCGATAGTTACATTAATTCAGATTTCCGTGTTCATGGGTAAGGTTGTGCTGGAGCACAGCCTCACCCCTCTCTTTTCCTGTTATTTGTGGAGTAGATTAAAAAACCCAATGCATTTTCTATCTGGCCCTTCACCAAGGAAGCTCACCGATCACCAAGTGCCTTACCCTCCTGCCTTCAGTCCCCTCCTGCAAAATGGGAAGAACAGCACGCATGGCCAGGTGGTGCTGCAGACAGAGGACGTGCTGGGAAGCCCCGGGAAACAACCTGTGCCTGGATTCCAGAAAGCAGTAGGCAAGGCAGCATAGTGGCTTCCGTGGCCTTGAGGGTCTCTTCTCACTTGCTGGAGAGAATAATGTTCACCAATGCCCATCCAGCACCTGCTCTGTGCCAGGCATCCATAAAAATCCCAGTGACAATGGCAGGAGGCCCAGACCTGCTACCTGGTTGAGCAGCAATGTTGGATTTGCTCCCTAAATAAGGATGCTGCCCCAAGGTGACAGATCTCCCGGTGTCGCCTGGTGTGCTGCACGTGATGCTTCAGGCATCTCCTGTGCCCTACCCAACCCGTTTTTCAGATGGAAGAAAAAGAGGCGACTTGTTAGAACCCAGTGATGGCGAAGCCGTCTGTTCTCTGGGGTAGAAATAGACAGCAATGATCTTTTCCACGCAAAGAAGCACTGTGCCGTGGACACCAGACCTCCACGTCTCCAGATGCTCTGTCTGACCCTCCCCCCCCCAGCATCACACATTTCACACACAGTTCTTCCCAAACGCATCCACCCTGTGGTGTTCCAAGGGGACTGCTGATGGCATTGAGCAGTTTCCAATTTCTGGCAATACTGCAACCCTTTGCTCGTCTGGGACCACGTGTGCTCGGCTCCCTGCACACGTGCTTGCACGTTTCACAGTGTGGTCCAGGCCCAGTGGACACAGAGTCCACAGCAAATCCAGGTGGAGGTGGCCATAGAGGGTGATCTGAGGGCCAGATCTGCATGGAATCTTTGTGGGGCTGGCCTGGAGGGAAGGCATGGGTTCAGCACACTGGGCTTGTGGCCCTGCACTTCACGGTGCTTCTTTTCTAGGTCCTGCTGCCTCCTCCCTGCAAACCATTTGATAAATGAAAGTAGCCTGTGAGTTTCCTGAGAAACCACAGCTTCCTGTGGCAATGAGAAACAAGGCTGCAAAGGGTTGGAGAACGCACATGGTTCTCATGGTTGTGTCCACTGACCATTCACGGGGCGGGGGGCGGGGAGGGGCGGTCCTTGGTCTGCTGAATATTTGCTCAGGTCATGGAAAGAGAAAATGTGAAATTGAAAATTAGAGTAATTCCTAACCACACCAGTCCTTGTCAGTCTTTCTGCTCTCTTTCCTCTGTGCATATTAAAATTAATACCAAAATTCCAATAGAGGACAAATTTGTGTAACCAGATCTGGCCTGGAATTGCTGTTTTCTATCCAGTTTTCAACAGATTCCAGGAGTCTCCAGTGCCCCATGGAGGGCCTGGCTCCAGACCTCAGAGGAGAGTCAGCAGACAGCCAGAGGGGCCCTTCTCCACAGGCCTCGAGGGACAGGGCAGCCCCCTGAGCCCTTGGAATCTGGCTGGGCCTGGTGGCTTTCACATCCCACTGGATGGTCCAGGCTGGACTGTGCACCAGCCCAGCCAAAAGGCAGGATGCTCCAAGGGACCAGCAAGGTTGGGTCCTCACAGCTATGAAGGTCAGGCTGGACAGATGGGCCCAGACACTGGTTACATGAAGGCATCCTTCTGTTTGGTAATTAAACTTCGGTTTAGACATAGCCACAGATCCCACAGTCTCTGACTGTCTCTCCGTTGTGGTCCTGGCCTGGTGCCAGTGGGGGCTCCTGTCTCTGACAAGAATTTTCAGCACACCAAAACTCAATAGCAGCTTCTTATTTGAATTGTAATGTCCAAGGTAAAGAAGGCTTCTGTCAAGTGGAGAAAAAAACAAGAAATACAGCAGCCAGTAGCTAAGCATCTCAGACATCAGTCTAGGCGTTGACTCATCACCAAGGAGCCCAGAGTGGACTGAGGCTGGAGAGTAAAGAAAAAACCCATTTAAGTGAAAGCAGAACTCTTCTCCAGCTGCCAGCCTGTCGGGAGACATAAATGGGACCACGTCCTTCTGCCAGGAAGGAGGCAGCTCAGCAGGGGGCAGCCTCGGTGGACAGCCTGTGGGATGTGTGCCCAGCTGTCCTACAGCAGCAAGGGGTGTCTCCTTTGAATAAGCAGAAGAGGTTAAAATGATCCAGGGGACATCAGTCCCCATGTTTCTATCATGGACTCCAGGGTTCCCACAAGGCCTCTGCTCCTGCATCCTGGGCCTCCGAGCCACCTGAGCCACCTGACGTGCCCATCAGGCCCTGCTGGGACAGATGGACCCCTAGCTGGGAGCGCTTCTGCAGCTCAGATGAGGAGCCATGAAAGATGCACAGAAAATACGCCCAACAGCAACCTGTATTTTACAAAGCACTCAGAAAGTCATGCATGATTCTGGCTCTGCCTGGGAAAAGGCCCCAAGGAGGAAGAGAGCCCTGTGCCTGCCCCATGCCTGACATGCAGCCTTTCTGCCAAGTGCCCAGTCAGGAAGTATTTACTCAACAGCTGTATGCACCACTGTTCTTGTGAAGGGAGAAGGGAAGGAGGCAAGGGCAAGCAGAGCCCACTGGTGCTGTGGACAGTGGGGTCACATCTGAGAGGTGGCCCTTGAGGTAAGACACTGAGGAGGACCTGGGGGGGTCTCAGGGTAATGGTTCCAGGTGGGCTGGTGCAGAAGCAGAAGTTGGGAGTGAGTTCTGGCCTGGAGCACTGGGAAAACCCAGGTAGCAACGGCCCTGGGTGGGTGAGGGGCAGGAGAGGTCAGCACAGGTTAGGCCATGAAGGCTGTTCAGGTGGACAAGGAGAGAAACCAATGATTATTGTCTAGAGAAATTATTACACTTTGGAGAGTGACAGAGGTGCTATTCATAACCACTGTAGGACCACAAGGTCTGCCCTTCTTCCCCTTGCACAGCAGGGAGTTGGGGCCCCACTCCAGGATGAGCAGCTTCTGAAGCTGCAAAGCTGGGTGTGATCCGTCCATACTCATGCCATGTATTTAATTGCATTTATCTATTTAAAATACGGTATCCTTCGGCGTTTGTGGGGGAGGCTGTAAGACCATCCTCTGATACCAAACCCACGGATGCTCCAGTCTCTTGTATAAGATGGTGCAGTGTCTGCATGCAGCCTATACCTCTTCCTGCAAACTTGCAGTCATCTCTAATTGACTTACAGTATGGAATCCCATGTGAACACCGTGTCATTAGTTGTTACACTTATTAATTAGGGGGTAATAAGAAAAAAACCTGTTACATGTTCAATGCAGACCCAAGTTTTGCTTTTGAACATTCCTGGTCCAAGGCTGGTTGAATCGGGGGAGGTGACTGTACGTAAATAGATATTTTTAAAATACCACTTTGCTGCTGGGGGAGGGGCTGGGGGAAGCAGAGCAAGCAGTTGGGAGGATGGCCAACTCCCAGCTCCCTGTGTCCTGGTGAGAGTGGCAGCCATGGATGGACCTGGACAGAGGCCAGGACATGCCATAGGTCAGTGTCAGATGCAGGATGCCCCCAGGTTTTGGCCTGAGCCACTGATGGGTAGGGCTGCCCTGTACTCTGAACTATGTAGAAAGTCAGGCGAGGAGCATGGGGGAGGATCCAGAATGCTGCTTCTGAAAGGCCACCTGGGAGACTTGTGCAGACAGCCAAGCAGAGATCATCAGGTCATCAGGTGGGCAGCAAAGCCTAAGTCTGCCGTTCCTCAGGGAACCTCAGGTGTGGGTGTAGGAGTCACCTGGTGACAGGTGATGTTGCCTGGAACAGAGCATAAGGGAAAAAGAAGACCTGGGGCCAGGCGTGGAGTCCTCAGCAGTGAGCTGAGAGC